GATTTTAATGTTTTTTTATTCCTTTGGCTTTTCACTTCAAAAAAAAAAAAAAAAAAAAAAGCAGTACCCGACATACCTTGCACCTTGGGAAGGAGATGCAGGAAAAGAGCAGGACTGTTAAGTGCTCGGGATCTGAGCAAAAATTCACTCGGAGCCTCCTTGGGGATCAAGATCCTTAACGATGATGCCTTTAAGGTGCAATCGGCGGGGAAGGGACCGAGCTCAGCCCTGTGTCTTTAGCGTTTGAGCGGTGTCACAGTACATGCAAACAGAGAGAGGGGCTCCATGGAGGACTGAGGCTTTTTCTAACAAAGAGCTCCCTCATACGCAAGCGGTATCGATTCAGGCTGCCCCTGCCAACCTCAGGAGTGCAAGGGTCTGAAGGACAACGGGATCTCATCAGATAGCAGCTAATTAAGGACATTTCTCCCCCCCCCCTTTCCAGGATCTGAGGAGCAGCAGATGCGTATTGGGCTCTTAGACTGGCACATACATTTACTAAATTGATATATGTATGTACATACGCTCACAGTCAGCGGCGCTGCTCGGAAATAAACTGCAGGAGCACAGCCGCGTAAATCTTCACCGAGATGGGGAACGGAGGAATTCAGAATTAAAACTGAAAACTGTCTTTCACCCGCTTTTCTAATAACAGGGCTCTTTAAAGCATAAATTGATCTCTCTCATTGGTATGCTGCAGGGCCTTGTCGGGGCTGCGTGGCATTTTATGCTCTGAATTCCCTGCCTTTTGTTCTCTGCAGCCCAGACACCAAGCGCTGGGAGAAGGTAGCTTTTCGTTTGTGGTTTCACATATAAATGGTTCAGCAGCCCACAGTCTAGCCAGTTGTTTTATATATGTGAGACCACCCATCTCCTGGGCTGCGCTACCTAATAGCTGCAGCTAAGATTCTTTAGGCTGTTAGATGTTTTCGTTTTTTGCTTTAGGATGACTGCAGTCTAAATATTTCTGCCGGCAGCCAGGCGAACGGGGCGGCGTGAAGCTTGGGGTGGTTTCAGGCATTGGGGAAACCATTATCCCTCCTAGAAAATCGCTGCACAGGCAGAGAGGGTCCCTGGGCCCAGATGGCTTGTCACTCACCGAACCTGGCCGGAGCTGCCTGCTGCATTTCTGAGATGCTTTCGGCATTTGGCCGCGCTGAGCCCAGTTGCTGCTGTTGTGTTTTGTCCTCCAGTTCCAAGGGTGGTCTCCACACCAGCATGTTAATTAAAAACATAGGCACAGCAGGAGCTTCCCTGGAGGCACTTTAAGTGGTTTGAAACTTTCCTGCATGTTAATCCCTTCTCCTTTGTGATTCCCAGTGCAACATCTCTGCTTAAGAGGGCAGGTAAATGGTTACTGCACATACCGCAAGCAAAGCTCCTGTGTAAATCAGTGCAGAGCGGAGGCGCTGGAGCCGCACCCCACTCGAGAGCAGCGAGAGCATCTGTAGGTGCCCGGATTTACCCTCTTGCCGCAATTTCCCCTCCCTTGAGAGGACTTAAAATGCAGCAAAGGAGGAGGTTTAGGTTAGATGCTAGGACAAACTGTCAGCAGTCGGGCGAATGAAGGAAAGCACTGGGATTGATTGTGGAGGGAGGGAGAGCAGGTTGGACAATCAGGACTGATTTAGGGAGAGTTTCTGCTGCCCGGGACGGAGGGAGGGACCGGGTGATTTGCGAGGTCTGTTGGAGCCCAATTGAATGCAGCATCCCGCAGTCGGAGTCTCGCTCCGTTGCGTGCTCCTCCGGTGCTCCCGTACGCCATCTTCTCCCAGGTCTTCTCTTCCTCCAGGTCTGGGGAGGGGAGAGGTGGCCGCTCAGTTTAGTCCCCCTCCCTTGTTGTCACCCTGCCCTTTTCCCGTCCCCAGCAAGTCATTAACTGGTTAAAATGGGGCACGTGGCACTGCTGGAACCCAGGGTGGTGGCAAGTTGCCAGGTTCAGGCATATGGTTGGGTTTTATTTTAATGGGGCGCTCATAGATATTTAATAACTTGCATGGCTCTTTGTTTGCTTTTGATAATCGGGTAATAAAATAATTCAGGCTGATTTATACAATGCTTTACAGCTCTTCTGTGAATGAAAGTGCCTTCTGTAACTCGCAGGCATTTGGCTTTGTTACCTGTTCTCCTTAGCAGAGACCTTTTATAAAAAAAACCAAAACACCTAACCCACGGAAAGAATTGTGTGTGTGTTACTGAGAAACCACAAAATGGTGCCATTTGGGGCAGAGACCGTCTTTCCTAGGCCTCCGTCTCTGTTTGGACGGGGCCGGCGCGGCACGGCACCGCTCTCCGCCTCGGGCTCCCAGATGCTACTTCAGTACAAATAAATAATAATAATTTGGCAAGAGCTCAGAGCTGTAGCTCTTCCTCTGGGAGCAGCCGAATGTTTCGCAAACAATATGAGCTAATTGTCCTTTCAATCCGTGGCTGGTTTTCCTGTAGAGTGCCGGAGCCCTGGACATGTCTCTGCCCTCCACCCCGGACATCAAGATAAAGGAGGAAGAGCCAGTGGAGGTGGACTCTTCCCCGCCGGACAGCCCTGCGTCTAACCCACAGTCGCCACAGAACAAGGAGAAGGTAGGTCTCCCCGACTGTGCCCTGTGGAGGTGTTGGTCTCTCCTTCTCTGGATGAGAACAAGCTTTTTCTCCACGTGGGTGCCAAGGCCTGATTTGGGCTTGTGAGGTTCCCCTCATTTTAGAAAGAAAGAGAAAAGCTTGTTCGCTGAAATACACATTTGCTGCCCTTAAGTCTCCACATGGATTTGGCTAATGCAGAAAGCCTTGCCGTTCACCTTGGGAATGCTTTTCTGGCAGGGCAAGAGTGCCAAACAAGTAATGCATCTTCTCCGAGACCGGCTCCCTGTGTCCTGGGGGGGCTGGCTGGTGATCCAGAGCAGATTAGTGCAGGTGACACGGTCTCCGTCTGAATAACTTCCCACTGTAGAGACGCTAGCTGGGGCTGGAGCGGTAATTTGGAGAGGGGAATTATTGCCCAGTGGCTGCTGCAGGCAGCAGGAGTCTGAATTTCTGTGCCCCGTTCCCTGCACTGACATCAAATCAGTGTGGCTTTGGGAAAGTCGCTCCCCTCCGTGCCTCAGTTTCTGTGGCGAAGGTGCCTTAATTTTCACTAAATTGCTTTTAAGACGTCAGAAGGAAGAGACAGCCAGGTGCTTGTGAAACTGTTAAGTAACAGCGTGTCTCCTTTTGTCTGTCGATCCTCTTCAGGAGATCACTTCCAAGCCTGTAATCATTTCTACGCCTACTCCAACCATCGTGCGTCCAGGCTCGCTGCCACTACACTTGGGTTACGACCCGCTCCACCCTACGCTGCCTTCCCCAACCTCTGTCATTACCCAGGCTCCCCCTTCCAACAGACAGCTTGGGTAAGTACGGAGGAGGGACATGTGCGCTGAGGTTTTTCTCCCGTACCGTCAGGCTTCCTGGGCAGTAATTAGGTACCTAAATAAGTTCCTTGATTGTCAGAACAACTGAGGTGCCGCGATTCCGGCTGCGGCTGCTTGGGCATAAGGGCCTCGTTGCAGCACTGTCTACAAAAGCAGAATGGGGTGTAAGTGCAGAAAGCAGGAACTAATTGTCGTAGTGTAACGAAACGAGGCAAAACTCACCGCAGGGAGAAATTAAACCCAATCCCCAAACACGTTGACGTGACACTCGCTGTCTACGATGGGAGCGTGGCCTGACTGGGGACTCCCAAGTTGCTTTTGCAGCCTGGTGCGGTGGAGAGAGCTCAGCTAAACCGATGGTAGGAAATTGTCTGGATCTTTAATGGCTTTGGGATTTTCGCAGACAGCTGTTGCCTCTGAAGTGTAACCTCTTCTGCAACCTGCTGGCCTCCTTCATGGTCAGCTTCTGCCTCGGGAGCTGTTTGTTTCAGCAGATCTAATGACCTGCTCCTTTTTGCCCCTTTAACAATCTGGATTGGAGGCTCCAGAGCACTCGCTGCGGCGGTTATGAGCCTGCCACACTGTTAGGTAGCTCTGGCCCTGCACATAAAAGGAAGGAGCCTGAAGGATGCAGGAAACACATTACAATGAGCCCTCAGGAGACGTATATTTAGCCCCACTTTCATTCTTTGGTGTCAGGATGCTTCTTTTTTGCTGTGGTCCTGGCCTCTTTCTAATTACCGTTGTTTGAGGCTGGCTCCTTACATTAACCAGGCCATTCTTTTCAGCTGTCAGTTCATATTTTTGTGTGTGTTTTTGCTTTGACCCTCTGGCACCATCAATCCAGACTTCCTGACGGAAAGTTTTAAACCCTGTCTTGAGGCATTAAGGGGTTAAGTGATTGTCCTGGGGTTTTGAAAGGGCATTATATTCCTTCTGTAACCCCGCACAGGCAGAGACTCATGGGGCTGTTTGGAACCGAGTCCCCTCATGCTTGGAGGCATGAAAAAATCAGAACTGGAGTAAGCTAGACTTTAATACGATTTTATGTGCCCTTTGCAGCCCACGGGGGTAGATCCCTCCTAGGGCATGAGAGTTGAACGTGCTCTACGGAGAGGTTGGGCTGCGGTTTTAATGAGGGTCCCTGTGTTAGGGCCACTGCAGATGTGGTGAGGTTGTCAGCGTGACAGAGATGGAGGGGAGGCTGTGACCTCCTTGTAACTCAGCTTGTTAGGCTGAGATTTTCAAAGCAGCCTGGAGGATTTGGGATGCCCAATAGAAATGAATGAGAGTCGAGCGTTCGCGTTCCCAAGGCAGCCTTAAAAATTCCAGCCTGAGTTATTGGCACGATGAACTCCCCCCTCTGACCCGCGTCCCCTGCTTCTCCCCACCCTGCCGTTACTCCATGCTAGCACGGCTTCCTCCGAGGATCCCAGGCAGCCCAACCTCGTCCGTCCCCTTCCCTGGGCTCGGCAGAGGAGGCAGCAGCAAATTTTTTTTTCTCCCTCCCCCAAAGTCAAGCTCCCAGCAGCTCTGCTCTTCTCTTCCCGGCTCGTCTCTGCCTCCATTCGGCTCCCTGCTGCGCTGTCACGAGCTGAGGAGGAGCAGGAGATCAGCCTTTGCTGGCAGGGACGGTTTCCTTCCTCTCCCCATCAGCTGAAGCGGATCAGCTCCGGCTTTTCCTCCACTGTCCTAGAAAGGCTGAGTCCGGAGGGTCAGAGCCAGAGCACGGTGAGGTTTGTGACACTCCGAAATGGAGGCAGGGGTTTGCGTGCCTGTTTGTCACCACATGCAGAAACGCCGCCTTTCGCTGCAAAGTGATCTGCAATGGAAAAAGTTCTTGGTATTTTTAATTTGTCACAATTAGGCTCCGGCGCTATCGCCTCCTCCCCCAGCCTGCAGTGAGCGGGGCCGTTCTCATCTCCCAGAGCCATTGTCTGGGCAGACACAAGCCAGCCCTGGATCGACTCCATATTTAGGAGGTTTTCTCTGGAGTCAGAGGCAGAAGCGCTTGTTAATGGAAAGCTAAACCCTTGCAAACCCTCTTGTGGGAGCTCAGCAGACGTGGCTCACAGGCCAAGAAGTTACTGGTAGGCGGGAGCAGCTTCCCAGATCCCCCATCTGCCCGGCGCCAGGCTCAGCCCGGGAAGGCACTTTTAATCTCCCCGAGGAGGAGTTGCAGCAGCCCCTGGATGTGCTTTTCTGTCTATTCAGGTGGGCATCGTGTCTCGGGGCTTTGGCAGCCATGGTGTTTTGGCCAGCCGGTGTATGCCCGGGAGTTAACCAGGACACATCGTAACGCTGGCCATCAGCGTCGCTGCCAGCCCCGAGCGAGGAGCCGGCAGCCTGGGTCGCCTCGGCGTGACGTTGGCACGTGCTGGCTGCCGTGCAGTGAGTGTGCGGGAGGCTGAGTTACCTTAACACATGCTCAGCTAGGCTTTGCACCCGCCCGTTCGGAACGTGCCATTCAGAAATGGGAAAATGAGCCCAAATCCGCTAACCAGAATTAATTCGTGCTTCTGCCCTTGAGCTCATGGGGCTGCCGGGACAGCATAAACTTGAAATAATCCATGAGAACTTGAATTGTTGTTTCTCCAGGTCTCCCACAGGTTCCCTTCCACTTGTCGTGCAGCTTGCGAACGGACAGACCATGCCCGTCCTCCCAGGCCCTCCAGTACAGATGCCTTCTGTTATATCGGTGAGAGAAACTTCCAACACAGCTCTGCGTGGCAGAGGAGAGGACAGTGTTTTCCCCTTGCCAAATATATGCAGACACTTCAATTTTGTAAAAATTAAAATATATCTCCCCCTCCGTGCACGATACGACTGGAAGAGGAGGAGGAGGAGGGGGCCCAGCTCTGGCAAAGTAGTAATAACATGTCGATCACACTAGAGGGCAATAAGTCTGGAAAAAAACAAAGCCTTGCCTGGACAGATGGCTCATGCCATTGATCCAGGGCTGGGAACCGTAGGATCCCTGATTAGCTGCTTCCATTTGGAACAGCGTGCCTCAATTGAAACCATTCGAGCTTGCAGAGAACATGTTGGTCTTTGCAGGCCAGGAAAGCCACCCTAACCTCGCCAGTGTGCTGAAGAGCTGTTTGAATATCAGCCTTGCGGGTTGTGCTTTTTGCATACAGAGAATTTGCCGTGGTGCAGAACTCACGAGCAGATTTGCCTGGTGGGTGGCTTGTACGTCTTCTGAGCGCTTCAGCTCCCGACCAAGCAGCCCGTGTGAATCCTGTCTGTCCTGCTGGGCATGTCTTTTGGGTTTTGAGTTGAGTAATGGCCAAAACCTTCTGCCTCAGGTAACAGGAATGTTGACGTCAAAGTAGGCAGACTGCAGGCAGCTCGGCGTAGCTTGTGGGCACGGAAACATCTTTGCACCTCCCTGATCGTTTGAAACACGACTTGCGTTTGTAGTGCTTTGCAACAGCGTACCTGAGCGGCTCATAAAAGCAAGCGCAAATTCTGTTTTTTCCCCTCTTTGGTGAGGGAGAAAGCTCTCTGTTTAGGAGGGGATGCTGTGACTTACCCTTGGTGTTGCGGCAGCTTTGCCATAGAGCCAGGCAGAGAACCAGAGGGGATCTCATACCCTCCCTCTCCATCTGCTCTCCTGTACTGGCGGGGAAAAGCCCTCTGGGAGGGAAGGGAAGGAGAGAGGCTTTAAGGGCTGCCCTCCTCCCTGTCCTCAGCGCTAGGCCTGTATGGCTGGGGGATTCCGAAACAGCCACTGGGGGCACCAAAGGGGTGGGCGGGGGC